TTATGCACAATAGAGAAATGCAAATCAGTACACCATGTCATTACAGAGACAAATCACCACAAGATCAAAAGAACACTCATGACACATCAGGAAACTATTTTACTTTGTTGGTGGAAATGTAAGCAAGTATTTCAGCCACTACTGAAGTCAGTGTTCAAAGTATTCAAATGATTAAACATAGTAAGTTCACTAAGTGCAGTGCTTCTTTAGTGGGTCTCATACTCAAAGGTCTAGGGACCCATTGCAGTGATTCATGCATATTCCTGTTTACTGAAGTAATAGTCACTTTTCTGTGGAGAGCAGCAGCAAGTACTGCTCCATCACAACCAAATGCCAATGATGAACAAGAAATACTCATCAGTGTACTCTTTTTAGTAAATGATATGATAGTTTATTATGAAATGGGCTCATGACTGCTTATTGTTGTCAAATTGATGATGCATTTGATATATTCATATTTCTGGAGATATAGGCCTCCAAGATTGTAAAATGTGGATTGCTTATGGTAGCAGACTTTTTTCCCATGTTCATACCTCTCCTAATCCAAAAGACTTGTGAGATTCACATTCCACTAAAGTCCAATAAATTGGTCAATGATACATAAGAGACTTCTTGGGTATTTGATAAGGGTGCTTGACTAAAATGGATATTTTATGTCAAAAGAGAAATTCAGATTATTGCCAGGATGTCATAATACAATAACATGTATGGTTCTGATTTCTGATTTACTATGTAAAATATGTCACTGTTAACACTGTAGGTATTCAAATGTTAAAATATCCATGGGTAGTAGAAAATACATTTCACTTAATGTTCTAAGGTGTTTCATGTTTAGATAAAATAGTAATGTTAAGCTTACTGCCTCTAATGTATTGTATTGTGATCAATCTTTTCTTCTGGATGTCCAACAGCTAAGGTTTAGGACCAAAAATGAGAGACACAGATGGGCTAAATGGATAGCCAATATTTTGTCCACAGCACTTCAAGCTTGGAGGAGACTCAGGATGTAAAAGAAATCTTGCTTTCATCATCAGAAGATAACCAGTGAGTACCTAGTATTCTGATCAGGAAGATGATGAGACCACAGAGGAAAGTGATCTTTGATGCAAGGTATGCCTAAGGAGAGTCACGAGTCACCAGAAAAATCTCCTAAATTTTCACAGAAATCAACATGGCCAAGCAATGGCCATGACTCTTCCAGGTGGTAGACACTGACAGAAGAGATATGAGGAGCTATGCATGGTTATAAGAACTGGCCTTGATAGGAAGTAACGAACCCATTGTCCTTAGCGTAATCCTTATGTTAGCTTTATCTTGAACCTTCTGCAGAAAAGTCTGGACTTGGGAGGTACAGTGCAATTCTAAAATATTGTCTGTGGGTGAATCTCGTATCACTAACATCATTTGACAATTGCTATCTATGCTGGTAACTGACTACCATTATGGATGGATGGACTGTGCAGTGGTGGGAGCTCTAACACAACTTCTACATCTTCAGCTGGTCACCAATCTGTGTATCAACCAAACAAAAAGGAGGGAAATGTTGGAGCCATTGAAGCTGAATACTCATTCAGCGCTGTGATGTAGCACAGGCATGATTGAACTGAGAATAAAGAGATGCCTCAAGTCACAAGATAGGCCACAGCTGAGGCCACCTAGACACTTTCTGTGGGATAGCTCTCTGCAGTTACCATCGTCTGTTGCTTGCAGTACGTCTTGAACCTCTCCCATGATCCGGTTCAGGTTTCCTCCATTGTCCACTCAACTCCTGCCTGCATGAGGTTGGCCAGCTGTCTAGCAGAGTGATGAGTTCTGCCAAGGATCTCTCTCCTCCTGCAGCCCTGAAGACCATGCTGTGTTTCTCATTTCTTAGAGCCTTTTTGGTACACCTTTTTGGCATCTTGGTTTCTAGGAAAAGACCCCAACATGAAACATAAAATGTACCTGTTTTAAAGACTCAGCACTGACATCTGGTATTGTTGGATGATGACAGGAACAAGTATCAAATCTGTTTAAGACAATTCACGAACACAAAAGCTGTTATATTGCACTGTATTTTTTTGGTTCACCAATGCCAAATCCTCTTACATGACACAACTTTCCTCAAGACAATTATTTCCACTCCAATCAATGACCTACATATGAATTATTTTCTGTAGGACACACACACAGATATGCAGGTTTTATGATATGTCTCCACCAAGTCATCCTGAAGAAAAAATTAACAATCCAGAGCCATCCCAGGCTTGAGAGGAGAAATAGAAAGCTAATATGCCCTTGTTATGAGCTGGTGGAGGTCATATGGGGCAACTAGCCAATGTGCCGATGTTGTGATTCTGTGGAAGCTATTCGGGTTCTCTGAAGAAAAACAAGACAGTAACTTGCACTTCCTGTGAGCTAGCCATTGCATTGGCTGGGAGATGAGCACCACAGTCCCCTCCTCCCACCACCAACAGTCTGACTGGTTTAGAGCACACGCTGAGTTGATAGCAATGGAGGTATAAAAAAACTTAATCCTTGTATTACTTGATTGGCTTTGCAGCCTAAGGCTAGTATTCTTAAGCATGAATTTAAATTGGGAAATAATGGTAAAAGAAGATGCAAAAACTGCATATCTATATGGAAATTAAATAACACTCTTCTAGACAACCAACGGTTGGCAGATTAAGTAAAGGAAGAAACTTAAAAATACCTACAAACTAACAAGTACATAGATGCAAAATCCTGTATCTTATGGAATTCAATGAAAGAAATCCAAATAGTTAAATTTATAGTAGTCAAACCTCACATCAGGGAATAGAAAGAACACAAACAAATAATGTAATGTTGTATCTCATTCTTCCAGAAAAGAATGGCAAGACAAACACAAATCCCATACAAGGGAGGAAATTATAAGACCAGACAAGAAATTCATGCAATGCAGAAGAAGAAAACAATACAAATAATTAATGAATCAAAGAGGTGGTTCACTGAATGAATAAACAAAATTTATAAACCCTTGGACAACCATATCATAAAAGAAAAAAATAAAGACTGAAAACCATGCACTAAGGAATCAGAAGAATAAAATAATTACAGATCCTGTGAAAATTCAGAAGATCATCAATATCTACTTGAAAAGCTTATACTTTCATAGGTTAGAAAATATAGAAATGCACTGATTCCTAGAAATATATGAAATGCCAAATCTGATCCAAGAAGATATAAAAATTCTAGAAAATGTAGTATCAGTAAATGAGAATGAAGATATAATTAAAAATTTATCAGCTGCTGGGCATGGTGGTGCCGAACTTGGGAGGCTGAGGTACAAGGATTGTTGTGAGTTCAAGAATAAACAATGCTACAAAGTGAGCCCAAGGCCAACCTGAACTGAATAATGAGAGCCTATCTCATGAGCACATTAAAAAAAAGAAAAACAATGACAACAGAAAAGCAAATGACCAACATAAAAAAGTCTAGGTCCTGATGGATTTACTGCTTAATTCTACAATAAATGTAGAAAAAAATTTAAGGCCACTGCTGTTTCTTTCTTTTTTTTTATCTGTACCAGGGATCAAACTCAGGGACTGCCTGCTTGCAAGGCAGGCGCTTATGCTGCTGAGCTAAATCCCCAACCCCTGGCCACTGCTGTTTAATGACATTGAAAGAGAAGCTGTTCTCCCTAACTCATTCCTGGAGGCAAGTATTACCCTCATACTAACACCAGAGAAAGATCCAACCAGAAAAAATAAACTATAGAACAGTTTTCCTAATGTACAAGATGCAAAAATCCTTGACAATATACTAGCAAAGTGAATGTAGCAAATCATCAAGAAGATTTTAAAACCTAATCAACTTCGATTCATCCTAGGAAGTCAGGGATGTTTCAGTACATGCAAATCAACAAATTTAAATGTCATATCAACACAGTCAAAAACAAAAGTCACATGGTGATCGTCTCAATAAATGCACAATAAGCTTCTTATAAAATCAAGCACTGATTTATGATAAAAACCCTATAGTAAATAATGACAGATGACTTTTACCTCAAGCTGATAAAATCAAACAATGACATGGCTGGGGATTTAGCTCAGTGGCATAAGCATCTGCCTTGCAATTGTGTGGTCATGAGTTTGATCACCTGTACTGATAAAAAAAGACAAAAAAATCAAACAATGAGAAAAAAATTCCAGCATCATACTAAATAGAGAATAACTGACAACTTTCATTTTACAGTTATGAAAAGGACATGGATCACTACTATGACCATCCCCATTCAATATAGCTCTGGAAACATTAGGCAGAACAATTAGACAAAAGAGAGAAATAAGAATAAATATATAATAGAAAATAATTAAACTATCATTATTCACAGATGATATGATATTCTAAATAGAAGATACCAAAGACTCCACCAAAACAGTCCTAGAATTAATAACCAAATTCAATAATGTAGCAGGGGACATAGTTGACAATCAAAAATCAATAGCATTCCTGTACACAATCAACAAACTCACCAAGAGAGAAGTTACAGAAAGCACAGCCTTTACAATAGCCTCCCAGAAAACAAAATACTTGGAAAGAACCTAATGAAGAAAGTAAAGGACTTACATATTGAAAATTATAGTACTTTGGAAAAGGATATTGAAGAGATTATCATAAAGAGAAAGATATTAGTGGCCCATTCTGTGCATTGTCTTTTCACTCTGTCAGTGATTTCTTTTGATGTAGAAATATTTTTAATAAGATGGGGTCCCAGTGGTTGATTCTTTAAAATTTGTATTTTGTTCATGAAGCCTTATTAGTGTTTTTGTTTTAATATTTAGATCTAAACTAGTTTGACTTTTGTTTGTTTCATAGTGATAGACTTGTCTCCAGTTTAAGTCTTCAGTATGAGAAAAGTCATTTTCTTCAGCACCATTTATTTAAGAGGCTATCTCTCTTCCAGTGAACATGTTTGGCTCCTTTGTCAAACACAAAGTATCAGAGTGTGTTTGTAGTTCTATTTGCATCTTCTAGTCTTTTTGGTTGATTCTCAGGTCTGTTTTTCTGCCATAACTATGCTGATTTTCTAATAGTAGCTTTCTAGTATAATAGCAAGTCAGGAATTGTGATGCTTGCTGACTTGCCTTTGTTGCCCAGCAATGTCTTTGGTGATCTAGAGCATTTCTGTTTCCAGATGAATTTTAGAAATGTTGTCTGTACATTTGTGAGCTATCCTACTGATATTTTGGTGGGCAATGCATTACATCTATATGACAGTTTGCAATAAGATTTTTTGAGTTTTCTCCATATCCTTGAACGTAGTTTTACTGGTCTCTTATTCTCACCAGATGAAACATAATAGGTATGATCTTAAGAGTTTCAAACTTTTGAGTTCTTCTTCCAAGGATATCCACAATAATATGATATTTTTTCTGTTTCTTTGAGACATGTTTTCCCCATGCAGTTCAGGTTGACTGCGGATTCACATCTTAGTCCAGTCAATTCACACTGATTATCCTACTTCAGCCTCCCAAGTTCTGGGATTACAGGTGTGCACATAAAACTTGAAAGAATTCCTGGTGTTATTTGAAACCTGAAAAAACAGTAATGAGATACACATGTATTTATTAACTGCCATTCCCTTAAAGGAAATTGTCCAGTATAACACATAACATCATTGGAGGGTAGGGAATCAGAAGATGTGTTTCTATCTCTTATGAGCCTGGGATGCCAGGATAGACTACTGCAGAAACAGGAAATGTCACGGGTAGGAATATGCATCAAATGTGAGCATTAGTATTAAGAATTCAGAGAGTATTGTATTTAAGGATGATGAGAAAAAGACCAGTGGAAAGCAATGAGAGTCCTGGTGAGCTTCGTTTGTCCTGACTATAGATCATGCTTTACTATAAGGATGAACATCATAAACAGTGAAATATTCAAACATTATGGACTTTTGACCCTAGAAAATATTGAGGCTTGGCACTGTAGCTCAGCTGTATTGTAGCCTGGCATGACAGATGCCATCTTGAACCCTGCATTTATCTAGTGCCCTGTATTTGATCTAAAAAAATGAAAAATCACCAGGGTATAAGTTCCATGAGAAAAGCAAAAGGAGCTGTACCCAAGTAAAAAAGTAACCTGCTAAAAAAAGAAGCATGATACAGTGTCATTAAAAATTAATGTAAGATTCTAGCTAAATTGTTTCCAACAGGATGTCTTCTGTGATTCTCTCTTTTAAAAATGCTGAACTTTCCAGTTCATAGCCAATTGTTTAGATTCTGAAATGGGGAAGGGGGTCTGTATAAAAGTGGTTTTGAGCTCAAATATTTAAATTCCAAATTTATCCTCTGGATGTTTTGATTCCTATACTGTTGTTCACAAACTCACCTCAAGATGCAGAAAGATTATTGACAGAAGCAAACCTCTGGATTAAATGTCAGTGCCCCTGAAATGGAAGAATAATTCTGAAAAGGAGGGAAGAAAATGAAAAACCCCATGTGTTATAATGCCCACCTCTTTTCCACAGCATTAAAGAGGCTGAAACAGGAGAATGGCCATTTATTCAAGGACAGTCTAAACTATGCAGTGAGTGAAAGGCCAGCCAGAACTACAAAGTGAGACTACATCTTTAAAAACAAAAAATGAAAAAAGTAAAAAACCAAGGGAGAGAGAAAGACTATTAAAGGAAAACAAAAATAATAGAGCTGAATGAAAGCTGACCTAAATTGGCAATTATGGAATGATGTTGCAGTGGACAGCTGGCCATGTAGTGGCATCCTGGAAGCTGTGACAAATACAGAGTTAGGAATGGTACCTATTTTGCTATAGCACAACAGTGACCTCCTTCTTCCAATAAATCTGCAATTTGCTAGAATGAAGAGAATAAAAAACTCATCGAAATCTTAAACTCAGAGCAAGCACGTAGCTTCATGCAAAGGATTTGGAACACTGCTTTGACCACTAAGCTCAAAACCCAGCCCAAGATCTTCAGATTCTATATATCACTATTACCAATGTTTAATTTATCATTGACATATTTAATTAAAACTCTTGTTAATCTACATGTTCACAAATGAAGCTATTTTCTTTCATTGCAGTTTAAAACACTGTTTTTTTTTTTAGGTACAGGGGATCAAGCTCACAACTTAGCACTTCCCAGGCAGGTGCTTCGGCCTGCTGAGCTAAACCCGTGGCCTCTATTGAATAATATTTTATTAAATGTATAAGCATCACGTTATCCAGTCAAATGGTATTGTGATTTTACTACAGGAAGTGAAACTAGAGAAAAATTGATATACAGTCAGAGAGGAATTGGAACCTCAAAGAAGTCAACATAAACAACTAAAAACAACAATCCCTCTACTGGCTCAGCTGAAGAAATCCAGACATAAATGTGAAGATGCAGTGACCATGTCTACATGCCTCCTGAAGAGTGTTTGGGGGTGTTAAATAGCTGACTATATCAATGTTTTTGGATCATTGAACACAGCTGTTTGCAGTCTCCCTGTTTGAATGTCCACCTTGTGTTCTTTGATACTGTGATTTGAGGAACTATTTTCAAGATGATAGTGTGTAATCTACTAGCAGGTGATTTCTTACTGTTATGTTTTTTTTTTTGTTTGGTTTTTTTTTTTTTTTTTTTTTGTAGTTCTGTATTGTGTGTACCCTTACGCCGCTTTGGTTTGTTTTGTGTTTTTCTCTTTTTCCTCTTAAATAAAAATTAAAAAAAATTTTAAATGTAAATTTAGTTCGAAGTTACAGTCCACATTAGCACATGTGATGAAGAGAAGGGAATCAAGGTAGTTAGATAGTTTTAAAAGTGTTGATCTTTATGAAAACTATTTATATTGATGATTGGTCAATTTCACGTTTTATTGTGCTTGTATAAGGAAAGCAAAATATGGGCTCTTTGCCTTTAGTTTTTTTTTTTTACCAGTTCTCCTGTGTATCATAAATTCCCTCTTCAAGTCTTCCTAGAAATTAAACTTTCTTTCTTTCTTTAAAAAACAAAAAAGAAAAACAATAGCTTGAAATGTACTACAGTTACCACTACTTCCTCCAGGAAGTCCAGAGAGGCATCAGTTACCATACTCAATGACCAGAACAACTGGACTATTGTTCCCACAAAATGCCTTTGCTCTTTCAACATACTTTGTCTGGGTGACTTCTTCCCAGGTTAAATAATATTAGTTAAGCCACTCACTACAAGCTTATAGATTGATTGTAGTTTGGGACTCACACTGTAGCCACATTGTGACTTTGCTGCATAAATGACCCCTGACAATAGGTCTGTGACTTAAACACTGAAGAGCACTCCTGAAAATCCAGGGCTATTCTTCCTCTTTTCCCAGAAAATTTTTGAACTTCTTTTGGTGTGTGACTTCATTCCTTAATGTTGTGAGCCAACAAACTTGGTGCATTTGACATGAAACAGGGCAAGATTATATTTGTCCTATTTCCATTTGAATATAAAACTTCTGCTAAGTGTTCCAAACCCTTTGCATGAAGCTACTTGCTTGATATGCATTTTTAAAGACATATTTTGTCTTGAAGCCTGGCCCATAACAAGAGGTTTCTGTCTCCCCTGTATCTGCAAGGTGTCTGGGCTTCTACACTGGCCACTTCTAGGACCTGATCCTGTCTCCCTGGCTATATATTTCTAACTAACTCGGCTACCTGTAACAACAGGGCTGGGCCCTCAATGGAGCCAGAAAATAAGTTCAGATTGCTTGTAGCATTGGAAGAGACAATCACCTTCTACTGTGGGCCAAATCTCAAAACAAAAGGCAAGGTAATACAACCAAGTGGTAAGAACCAACAGTCCAAATAGTTCTCTGATCACCGTGAGGAACTCAAGAGTCACCATCCCAACCCCCTACCAGAAGTGTCCCTTCTTTAAAACAGGCCCACTTAGTATGTGACTTGCTCTCCTATTTGCTCCCAATTTAATCAATTTTACCTGAGCAATTAACCTTATTGGTTAACCACAGTCTTATCCCACCTTATGCTAATCTTGAAAATTCCTATTTTTCCCCTTCTGTGACCCATCTGACCTCATGGTTTAACTCTGTACAAGCTCCTCAAAAGGACAGAGTCTTGGCAACTTACTCAGGACCCCTTCTGTCTCTCAGAAGCTTTCCTTCTCCCAATAAATATGTTCCATTCTTAAACTCCATCATTCCTAAAATTCATTTTTTAAATTTAGAGAACACAAACTCATACCAGACGTATAGTAGGTAAGGAGTTTCATTACCCTATACCATTAACATGAGCCAAATTAACATGACTATACTATATAAGGTCAGAAATTTGCTTCTTCTCCTGCAGTTTTAAGTGATTAATACAAATCACAGTGATTGTAGTCCTAGCAATATCTAAAATTGTATATATCAGTCATTATAAATGTTAAATAATTGGTTTGAGTGTATTATTTAGCAAGAACTAGACATTGCCATTGCAGTAGGTTATATCTTATTAAAGAAAAGATTCAACTATAATTGTTCAGAAAAGTTTCTACATTATTGGCTGCTTGAACAATTTTTAATTAGAAAAACTGTGTATTTTTGTCAGTTTCTAGAAGGCTTCTATTATATTATTGAAAGCTGTCTTTAGGTCTCTAGGACCTTGGCTGTATTTTGATGCATATTTGTGTTTTGAAATTTATATGAAGATTTATTTTTATCTTAGCATTAAACTTACTGCATTGACACTGATAGAGTGAAGCAACAGCAACTGCCTTAATTTCCATTGGGTTCTCGTGGCATTTAACATGAGAATTACTGAAGAGCTAAATTAGCTTCATACATAAACAAGAATCAGTACTGTTACTGAAAGAGTTTTGGCTGAGACAGGACACTGTAGCAGTGAGGCAGAATCAAGGAGCTCCTATCTCCCCCACCCCAAGAATTTACCTGTGACTCAAATTTCCCTGCACCTAGGAATTTACCTATGATGCCAAACAAAGACCAATGGACTACTTGTGCATCCCTAATGCCCCCTCAGGGTCCACCCCAAACCTAGGTTGCTTATATGCCCCCATGCCACAAGTCCATGAGAGAGAAAGCCAGACTCCAGTGATCAGGGGGCTTTTGTTTTCTCTCTTCGCATTCTCAGCATAAAGGGCCCTTTTGTTTTAAACTTCTCATCTGTTGGACGTACTATATAATCTTATCAGTTAGGATTTTGTGGCCTAAAAGAGAAGCAGAATATAGGAAAAATTTAAATTTTCCTTTCTATTTAAAGAATGTGGAGGGGAACCTACAGCCACCAAGGGTTTGCCTTTTTTTCTTACTGATTATGGGATTATGGAATTTTGCTCTATCTGGTGCCTGGCACTGACATTGATGTCATGCAAGGAGCTGATAGGAATTTTCTTTGGGCCCCTGGGAAAGGAATGAGGAGGTTGCATTCAGGGAAAAAAAGAGGAAGTAGCCATATGAGTAAGCATGGCTGATTTGAACTTTAACCCTGATGAACTACCACCATGAGTCCTGTAATTTATTCTAGGGCAAAACTCTTTCAAGTACATCCTTCAGTTTGAATTACAAAATGAAAATAAAGAATTTTGCTATGTGTCTTCTTCTACAATTAGTGGTAAACAATTCACAAGAAAAGTTTTTAGTCATTTCCTTAATGCATTGTACAAGTAAACAAAACTACAGATCAGTTCACTTTCAGCAAACAGAAGCAGCACTCAAAGGCAAGGATAAAGCCCTTCAGTGCAAGTGTCCCTTAAAAGGTGAGATCAACTTTTAAGAATACAATCATCTACTGATTTCTCTGACTTCAAGAAAAAGAAAAATTCATAGTGGTGTTGCTATAGGGGAATGAAACTCCCGGTCTACTATGCTGGTATCAGTTTGTGTTCTCTGAAGTCAAAAAAGGAATTTTAGGAACAACAAAAGTCAATTAATATACTTATTTGGAGAAAGACAGCTGTAGTAGAGAACGAATTAATCCTGAGTGGGTTGGCAAAGATTGTCTTTTCCAAGGACTTTTATAGAGTAAAATCAAGTGGTGAGATGGGTTTAAGTTGGAGAAAACTGGGAACTCAAAATGCAGATGGGCATCAGATGGGACAGATCTATGGTTGTCAATAAGAAAAATAGTCCAGGTAAAGTTAATTAAATTGGGAACAAATGGGGAAGGGCGTCACATAGAAAGCAGGCATTCTTAGGCAGCAGTGAATCTTCCCTTAGGAGGTTGGGAGGGTGACTCTTGATAAGAACTAATTACAATATCAGTCTTTAGGATATGGAGACATTTATTGGAATGGTGACTCCTGACTTCCTCAGAGTGCTAGGGAACTATTTAGAATATCAGTCCTTAGAGTATGGATGAATTTGTTGATTTTCTGTCTTGAGGCTTGGCCCATCCCAGGAGCTGTCCATTGTTGTAATCTAGTTCTAACCAATGGACCAATCCCCTTTCTGTTCTGTATGCTCCATTTCAATAGAGATTAAAATTCCATCTACAGTAAAGACTTAAATTTCATCTCCTT